CTCTCTCTCCTCTCGTGTGTGTGTCTCCAGGTCTCTGTCTCTCGTCCTGCGTGTGCGTTTCTGTTCCTCTCTCTCTCTCTCCTCCCGTGTGTGTGTCTCTCTAGGTCTCTGTCTCTGGTCCTGCGTGTGCGTTTCTGTTCCTCTCTCTCTCTCTCTCCTCCCGTGTGTGTGTCTCCAGGTCTCTGTCTCTCGTCCTGCGTGTGCGTTTCTGTTCCTCTTTCTCTCTCTCCTCCTGTGTGTGTGTCTCCAGGTCTCTGTCTCTCGTCCTGCGTGTGCGTTTCTGTTCCTCTCTCTCTCTCTCCTCCCGTGTGTGTCTCTCCAGGTCTCTGTCTCTAGTCCTGCGTGTGTGTTTCTGTTCCTCTCTCTCTATCTCTCTCTCTTCTCCCGTGTGTGTCTCTCCAGGTCTCTGTCTCTGGTCCTGCGTGTGCGTTTCTGTTCCTCTCTCTCTCTCCTCCCGTGTGTGTGTCTCCAGGTCTCTGTCTCTAGTCCTGCGTGTGCGTTTCTGTTCCTTTCTCTCTCTCTCTCCTCCCGTGTGTGTGTGTCTCCAGGTCTCTATCTCTAGTCCTGCGTGTGCGTTTCTGTTCCTCTCTCTCTCTCCTCCCGTGTGTGTGTCTCCAGGTCTCTGTCTCTGGTCCTGCGTGTGCGTTTCTGTTCCTTTCTCTCTCTCTCTCCTCCCGTGTGTGTCTCTCCAGGTCTCTGTCTCTGGTCCTGCCTGTGCGTTTCTTTTCCTCTCTCTCTCTCTCTCCTCCCGTGTGTGTGTCTCCAGGTCTCTGTCTCTGGTCCTGCGTGTGCGTTTCTGTTCCTCTGTCTCTCTCTCTCTCTCCCCTCCTGTCCGTGTGTCTCTCCGCCTGTGCTGTCTTTCTCTCTGTTTCCGTCTCCCCACCCCGCCCGCCTCCTGCCTGTCGAGTCTCTCTTTGTCTCTGAGTCTCTCTCTCTTTGCTTGTCTCCAAGCGCGTATCTCTATCTGTGTCTCGCTGGGTCTCTGTATGTCTCTCATTGTCCGCCAACCCCCCCCCCCCCCCCCCATTTCGCCTCGCTAACCTGCTGTCGCCCTCCGCCATGTCGCTGTCCTCGGCCTCCGCAGGTCTCCGTCCTCGCCTCCCGCTCTTTCGCCCCTCCCGCGTCCTGCCCGCCTCCTGCCCGCCTCTTTCTCTCCGTCCCCGCGTCTCTGCCTCCCTCTGCCGGTCAGCGGCCTCACCGCACCCTAGTCTCCCAGGGGATCCCCGGGCCCGTTAAGGCAGCCCCTGGCGGAGGACGGAGTGGAGCCCCGAGAGGGGGCTGCAGGCGCTGGGGCGGCTGCCACCGGCGTCCCTGCGAGCCAGGGGACCCCGCACCCTCCGAGGCCGGCGGCCCTGAGCACGGGGACTTCCGAAGTCTCTTCCAGCGCCACCTTAAGCGTCCCCCACCCCACGCCTTTCTGCGGAGGATGGGAACCGACAGCTATGGGCCCCAGGTGTCCGGGCCACCGCCGATCCCCGTGGCCCCAGGGCGGCTGGGAGCTGGGGACCAGCCCCCACCCATCCCCACCGTCCTACCCCTTGGGCACCCTTCACCACCAGCCCGAGTTCGCTGCTGCGAGATCACTCCCCACCCCCAACAACAACAAAAAAATTAAATAACAGCGAGAAAGAAGAGAGGGTGGGGCAGGAGGGAGGAAGGAACGGGAGAGAAGGGAGAGAAGAGGCAGGAGAGGAGGTGGAGAGAGCTCGAAGCTGGAGACCGGCAGAGAGGGGGCGCGGAGGAGGCGACGGAGGAGGGAAGGCAGAAGCCGGAGGCAGGAAGGAGCAGAGAAGGGCGAGGAGGAGGAGGGGGAGAAGCCGGATGGAGACCCGGAGTTAGGGGGCCTGGGAGAGCTTAATGAAAAGAAGACGAAGAGGGGGTGTGGATTAGAGCCGAGAGGTAGCCCTGGGAGAAGCAGAAGGCCGAGAGAGGAGTAGGAAGATCAAGAGGCAGTGGGTAGAGGGGGACTGGGGGTTCGGGGAAAGGAGGAGAGGAAGGAGGAAAGGCACAGAGAGAAGGGGAGGAGAGAGGAGTGGATTTGGGGGGCTCAGTCCCCAGCTGCCTTGGCATTTGGGAAACTGGGTCTCCCTGTGGGGAGGAGAGAAAGGCTGGAAGTACTGGAGGGACAGTCCCAGAAAAAGGGAGAGAGGAGCTGAAGGGGAGCAGGGCACTGGGAAGGGGCTGCTTGGAGGCCTCCCGGGGATGGGAGGTGCGGTTCGTCTGAGTGCCCCTCGAGCGCTGGTACTCTGGGCCGCACTGGGGGCGGCAGGTAAGACCTGGGGGTCCGGGCAGGAGACCCTGAGGGAGGGGTGGGGGTGGAGTGCCAAGGAAAGGGATTCAGGATCTTCTCTTCCCAGCTCACATCGGACCAGCACCTGACCCCGAAGATTGGTGGAGCTACAAGGATAATCTCCAGGGAAACTTCGTGCCAGGTGCAGCCACGGCGGGGACCCAGCAGTCGGGGCTCCCGGGATCGCCTCCTTCTTCAGACTCAGGAGTCTGGATTCCCATTTCCCTCCTCCCCTCAGGACCAGAAGTCCCAGTCCCCTCCTCCCTCCCTCAGAAGTCAGCCCAGCCTCTGAACCCCAGCGGTTCACTATGGGACATTATACATGCGCATTTCAAGTAGCGAGTGGGAGTGAGTAGGAAGAAAGGCAGTGTGGGGGTGGCAAGTATGTACATGTTTGCAGAGGGAGGCAGGTCCTGGCTCTTTCTGGGAACCAGAGACTCGGTGGCCCCATCTTCCGCCTTGTCCAGCCCTCTCTTGCAATTCCTCTCCCCAATGCATTCATTATCTAGCAGTGGGACAAGGGAGACTGAAAGAACTACAACTCCCCTGGGGCTCTGGGACAGACAGGCCGCAGATGGGCAAGCTGACAGCCCTCAGGCCTGCTGGGAGTTGTAGTTTTTTCCACAATGACAATTTAAGATGGATTGGATCAAGGAGAGGCTTGGAGGTGTTGGGGGGTCTTAGGAAACTATTCCAAAATCTTGTAGGACACAGGATTCTGGATCCCAGTCTCTTCTTCCCTCAGTCCCAGGAGTTCCAGGCCCCCAGCTCCTCCTTCCCCGAGATCCGGTAGTGCAGACCACAGCCCACTCAGCAGATCCCAGCATTGGGATCCAGTCCCTATTTCTGACTACTTTTCCTCCTGCCCTGCCCCTGCCCCCAGGGCCCCCCTTCTGGGGCCTGGTGAATGCAGCCTGGAGTCTGTGTGCAGTGGGGAAGCGGCAGAGCCCTGTGGATGTGGAACTGAAGAGGGTCCTTTATGACCCCTTTCTGCCCCCGCTGAGACTCAGCACTGGGGGAGAGAAGGTAAGAGGCCCGAAGGGAGGAATTAGTGAATCCACTGGAGTGGTACAGAGTCGGGCTGGAGAATGAAGTGCTGAGGTGGGAGGTCAGCCTTGGGAAAGGAGGGGATACCCATTGGGTGGAGAGAAGGCTCTTTACACTCTAAAGTAGATCACCGGTTCTTGCCTTCCTAAACATGGTTCCCTAGTCTTTCCATCTCTGTAGAAGCAATGAAAAACGGAATGTTTCCTGTGTCAGGCAGCTTTAAAAGCCTGATCAACTCTCTAAAAATTCTCACAAGAATGCTATGGAATAGGTGCTATTATTATCCTTATTTTATGGATGCAGAAATTGAAGCACAGAGAGGTTAAGTTACTTGCCTGGGGTGACACTGCTAGAGTATCAGCACTGGGGTTCAAACTAGACAGTGTGGTACCAGCGTCCATGCTGGTACCCACTGCAATAACATTTATTTTTGTTTGTTTTGGGTTTTTTTGGTGGCTGGCTGGTACGGGGACATGAACCCATTATCTTGGTGTTAAAAGGCTCAATGCCATTTCTTATAAGAGCCAGCACCACCCTTCACTCAGCTGTCCCAGGCAAAAGCCTCAGAGCCATTCACCATCCCATCCTCTCCCTCACTCCCATTACCAGTCCATGTTCTTTCTACCCTCACTGCTATGTCATTCAAATTGTCACTTCCTGCCCCTTCCACTGCCCCCCTTCTCAAATCCTGTCACTTCTTTCCCCTTCCACTACCCCCACATCATTGCCCACCTGGACTGGTGCCTTAGCCTCCTCATTGATCTGCTGCTCTGCTTCCTGCAATCCATTCCCCACCCCACAGCTAGAGAGATGTTTAAAACACAAACCAGATCATCCCACTCTTCTGCTGAAAATCTTTCTATTAGGATAAGTAATAATGGCAAACACTTGTGTAGCACTTACTATATATTTGGTACTCTGCCAAATGTGTTATATATATTCAGTTTATTTAAATAAAAAACAAAACTCCTCATCATTGCCCACAAGGTCCTGTACCATCTGGCCCCCATTACCACTCTCTCCTTTGTTCACTAGACACTGGTTCCACTGGGATCTTTGCTGTCACTAAAATAGGCCACCTGAGGGCCTTTGCACTTGCTGTTCTCTCTTCCTAAAATGCCCTTCTCCCACTCTTTTGCCTTTGTTTATTCTGCAGGTCTCCATTCAAATATCACCTCCTCAGGGAAGCCTTTCTTGACCTCTCAACCCCACCCCCAATTTAAGCTGGGTTCCCTATTACACTTTCTCAGAGCTCCCAATTTCTCCTGGCATGAGCATGTATTAATTAAGCAGTTACTTATATGATTCACTATTTACTGTCTGTCTCTTCCTCATTATAACATAAGCTCCATGTGGCCCAGGATTGTTGTCTATTTGTTCATCACTCTATTCTTGACATCCATGGCAAATAGTAGCAGCTCAATAAATATGTTAATTAAATAAAATTCCTCAATATTGAACGAATACCATGAGCCAGGATAGAGTTTGGAAAGTGGTTGGTGCTCAGATTATGTTGAATGATTAAATGATCTTTGGACTCAGAAAATGTAGGAGTGGCAAATGGGAGGGAAAAGATCTCTCTGTGACCCTTTGATAGCTTATGCCTCTTCCACAGCTCCGGGGAACTCTGTACAACACCGGCCGCCATGTCTCCTTCCTGCCTGCACCCCGGCCCGTGGTCAATGTGTCTGGGGGTCCTCTCCTTTATAGCCACCGACTCAGTGAACTGCGCCTGCTGTTTGGAGCACGCGACGGAGCTGGCTCTGAACACCAGATCAACCACCAGGGCTTCTCTGCTGAGGTGGTGGCCACTGACCTCTTACCCACCAAGCTCTGCTCTGAGTCAACCCAATTCCTCCCACCTCACCCCCTTAATGCCTCATCCATCCTCTTCCACAGAACCGGCATCCCACCCTAAGCATTAATCCTCAGTTTGACCCCAGAGCTGGAACCACTCACTCCTCCCCTTCTGCTGGGAAACCCCACTTTCTGTGCTCCTCCCTCCTCAGGTGCAGCTCATTCACTTCAACCAGGAACTCTATGGGAATCTCAGCGCTGCCTCCCGGGGCCCCAATGGCCTGGCCATTCTCAGCCTCTTTGTCAATGTGAGCAGGGGGAGGGAGGAGCTGAAGGAAGAGGGAGGCTGGAAGACCAGACTCCTGGGTCTCAGGGAGGAGGGGACCTGAGAGTTGGACTTCTGGGCTCCTGCCTCCTCACCTCATACTCCCACACAGGTGGCCGGTAGCTCAAACCCATTCCTCAGTCGCCTCCTTAATCGTGACACCATCACTCGTATCTCCTACAAGAGTAAGTCCCAGGTGTGCTGGGGTTTGGGGGGCACACATAAGGGGGGTTCAAGAGGAGCACCCCTCTTTACTCTGGTCTGATATTACCACAGATGATGCCTACTTTCTTCAAGACCTGAGCCTGGAGCTCCTATTCCCCGAATCCTTTGGCTTCATTACCTATCAGGGCTCTCTCAGCACCCCGCCCTGCTCGGAGACTGTCACCTGGATCCTTATTGACCGGGCCCTCAATATCACCTCCCTCCAGGTGACCTTCTATCCACACGCTGCCCCCTGCCCCAGGCCTGAGTACTCCATTCACTATTCCCTTGTCTCACCTACCCTCCCTCTCCTGATTGACTGGGGGAACTCAAGGAGGTAAGAGGGTCAGACAACCCTTGGGGGTGGGGTGGGCTAAGCAAGGCCCCGACCCAGGGGAGGGACTTCCTTCGTGACGTCACCACGACCATTCACTATTCACTCCCAGTTTCCCACCTTCTTCCACGGCAGATGCACTCCCTGAGACTGCTGAGCCAGAATCCTCCGTCCCAGATCTTCCAGAGCCTCAGCGGTAACGGCCGGCCTCTGCAGCCCTTGGCCCACAGGGCCTTGAGGGGCAACAGGGACCCCCGGCACCCCGAGAGGCGCTGCCGAGGCCCCAACTATCGCCTGCATGGTATGGTCCAGTCTGCACTCCCTCCATGTCTTGGTCTAAGCCGCTTGTGCGTCTCCCCGTGGTGTCTCAGTATGATGCAGTCCCACCCCCCTTGCTGCTTCTGTGTGGTCTAGCCTCCTGAGTTCTCACTCCCTGTTTCTCCTCCCTACGTGTCAACGTGGTACAGTCCACCTCCCCGCTGTAGACTATTGCTGGTCCATGATCTGTCTTTCCTCTTCAAGTTGCTTTGAGACTTTGTATATAACTCGACCCTCTCCCTCCTTACCACCCTCCCCCCCGATTCTTTGTGGTACATGCTTCCTATTACGTGACTTTCCAAATGGTACAGTCCAGATCCCCTCCCTGTTTCCATGTGGTACGACCCTATGCTGTTACGCAGCCTGACAGCTCCCACCCCCCTTACTGAGAATCAACAAGGTACAATCCCTTTCCTTCCCGTACTGCCTCCCAGTGATTCAACCCAGTCATCTGATGGCTACCTCTCTAGCTTCTCAACATGGTACACTTCAGACCCCACCCATCCCCCTCCATGAATACCTTACGTAGTTCAGATTCGTGCTAAATCTGGGCTTCTCTATTCCACCCTCCCGCTGCTTCCCTATGGTTCCGCCCAGTACTGGTCCGGATCTGACCATTTCCCCCAGATTCTCAACCTGGTACATTCCGGTTCCCCCTTCGCAGCCTTCCTGTGGTAGAGCCCTGCGCGGCCCAGCTCACGTCCCCTGTACATCCCCAGCCCCAGCACGGTTTACCCTAAACTAACGCCCCCTACCGGTGTCCTCTGTTTACAGTGGATGGTGCCCCCCATGGTCGCTGAGACTCCCCTTCGAGGATGGCGCCTGCCGGTCTCAAGCCTCCCCTCGAGGGGAAGGGAATCACCCACAAAACAAAGCTATTAAAGGGAAAGAATACTTCCTGTTTCTCAGTGTTCTGATTCTAGGCGCGGTGGGGAAATATTTCGGTATTAAAGAACAGCAGCCTTCTTCCAGAAACTAATCTCCCTCTTCCTAAATCTCAGCTACTCGGTCTTTTGGCTTCTTGCTTCCCAAAACAATCATTTGGACGTGGGGCTCCTTTAAACAGCGCCTCTCTTCCCCACCCCGCCCCAAATCAGGCAGCACGCGCAGAGCCATGTGCTTCCCCCTCCCTCTCGCCTCATTGGCCCGAACTGGGTCACGGTCCTGCCCCCAGCGCCGCCTCCCATTGGGCAAATGTAGGTCAGTGTCCCGCCTCCCTCCGAAAGGCAAGGCAACTTCACGCGCTGAGTCCCTCACGCGCCCTCCTGGGCCTTGGACAACCTGGGGCCCCATTGGTTGTGTGTCATGAGGTTGAGACACTATTGGCTCGTGCTTGCAACCATAGCGAGGCACGAGGCTCCGGTACTTGGCCTTAGAGGCGAGCGGGGCGGGGCGGGGCACGGCGGCGGGCGGAGGCCGGGAGGAGGGGCGCACGCTGTGGCGTCGGGTGTTTTGGTTTGGATTTTTTTTTTTTTTTTCCGCGAAAGAAGTTTGCTTTGGCCACGCCTCAAAGCGACTGCCTCCTCCTGCCCCCTCCTCCGCCCCTCCGCGCACACCTCTTGGTGCAGATTGCAAAGCGCCTTCCGTTGAGAGAGCTGCAGATTTTGCAAGAGCCAGGCTCACCCACCTTGTAGAAGGAGCGCCTTGCATCCCTTCGTACCCTCGGATGCAAAAAGCCGGCCGCCTGATTTGGTCACCCCCTCGCTCAGACTGCATGATCTCCCGGGACCCTCTTGAGTTGCACGTTTTTGCACCGAGGACAGCAAATCCCCATCACTCCTAGGATTTGCAGCGTTCTGGATATTGGAGGCTTGCAAGATACGCTCGCGCGCCCCTGGACAGACACTCGTCCGAACCACAGGAGTGTGCCCGTGACTGGCAACCCAGTCCTTCACCTCTCCATGAGCTCGTGAGCCTGGGGGCAGGTGCCCAGCGATGGCGCGGCCAGCGAATGACAGGACCCCGGCCCCCTTGCTGCTGAGCGGCCCAGCTGGAGCCCCTCCTGGTGGGGGAGCTCTGCTTGGGCTGCGGAGCCTTCTGCAAGGGACCAGCAAGCCAAAAGAGCCGGCCAGCTGTGAGTTCTATCTCCCCCATTCAGACACCCCACTCCCTTAGAGGCTCAAGTACTGGGGGGTCCGCAGACACCTTCTATGTGCTGGGAGTCCGTCTTCCAACCTTTACTCAATTACTCAAGTGTTTAGGCCCTTAGATCCTTCAGCGCTCAGGACCCAGAAGTACCAGGTCTCAAGGCCGTCCACCCCGAGCACCCAAGAGTGTAGGTCCCCCGTGTCCTCCTCCGCGAGGACACAGGAGTTTAAGCCCCAGCCTCCCCTTCCCTTTGGTTTGGGAGTCTGGACCCCTAGGGTCCGGGGAAAAAGGAGGGGGGTGTGTCGATGCTCACACGGTGGTGACACGGGCTTGGGCGGGGCCTCATGGGGTCACATGGAGTCTAGGGATGAGGAATGTGCCCCAGGAATAGAGCCCCTTCCTGCCCCTTACAGGTTGTGGGGGAGAGAAGTGGATACAGTGTGCAGGGGGTGGGCGAATTACAGAGCTGACATTTTTCTTCCTTTCACCTGACCAACCTTTCACCTACCCTGTCCCTCCCCCCACCCCCGAACTTCTGTCCCTCTTTCTCTGGGTCGCTGTCTTTCTGTGTCTGTCCCTTCTCGGGCTTCTCTTCTCCGCCCTCTCTGTCTCTGCCGCCCTCGTCTCCGTTCTTTCCCCCTGACTCTCTTCCCTCTGAGTCTGTCTCCTTGCCCTCCCTCTCCGATCTCTCCCCTCCGGCCCCCGGCCCCTCTTTCTCTGGATCTCCGCCGTGTGGGTCTGTATACTTCTTCCTCTTGTGTTTCTCTGAATCGGGGTCTGTTCTCCATCTCTATCTCTCCCCCCCCCCCCCCCCGTT